ATGAAACGTGAATCATGAGCTTGAACAAAGAGTTGAGTGAATCATCTGCTTTTTTACCTCGATGCAGATTAGAAGGGGGAAAACTTATCTTATTTATTTTATCTTATTTTTTTATATCAGTAATTTGGTATTTCCGTTTTGACTCATTATTCTTCGTTAATTATGACGTCATTATTCGGTAAGTATTTTTTTCTTCGATATTTCGTACTCAATGTTGCAGTTTCTGGAACCTAATGTTTATATTCTGAGAGGCAATGTAGATTTCAGGTCGGCGAATTTTCGGTATTTGACTGTACCTAAATCTTCACAATCAGACCAATAATCTCTTTCACTGGGCAAAGTATGGTAGCCACTAAAAATTAAGAATCCAACAAAAACTTTTAAATCCTCATGAGACAAAGTGTAATTAGGAATATTCTTAATTTTAGTTGCATATCAGATTGCATCAGTTTTTATAAGATTAAAAATTTCTAAAGTAAGCATTTTTTCAAATATCTCAATTCTGCTTCAGTTCAAACAACCCAATTCATCTTTTACATTTTGCAATTCATTGAATAAATTATCTTTTTTAAAAGTGGAATATTCTCGACTTACTTTTTCTTTGAAAAAGGAATGATTTCTTCTTGCTCATCTTCAAGTAATTCTGTAGATATTTCTATTTCTACAGTACCAGTGATATCATTCACTTCATTTATGGCAGTGGTATCATTGTCAAAATTTTCTTCATCAGTTAGCTCATCTACATCTGGGGGGGTGGTATTGCAATTATATCTGCTTTAATTTGCTCGGAAGATAAGTGAGCTTCCTCAATAGTTTTAAAATATTTACGAGGCATTGTCTTACATTTAAAAATCTAAAAAAAAAAAAATAAAAAAAACAGGAATGAAAAACTCTTTAATTATATAAATATAATAATAGATTGTTGTTTATAATCAAATACAAAGGAAACTATAAAAAAATGCATTATTATACATTTATACACATTCTGCCAAAACATAACAAAAAAGGTGGAATGGTAAAAGTAGTTCAGCGGAATGCCCAGCTTCCTCAAATGAGGACACTAAAATTTTACACCATTTTTAGGTAAAACAAAAGCCGAATTAGAAACCAAAAATAAATTCAAACTCATTAAGTGAATATAATACAAAAATTTTACTTACTTGGCAAATTGATCATCTAATAACAGTAAATTCGAAGCAGTCCACATGTTTGCAAAATTCTTCAGATAACAAAAGAGCTGCAATATTCCAAAAACATCTGCCCAATGAATGATGACTTAGAAAAGGTTGATTGTGCTTCCATCTACCATAGCACACCGAGTTAGTTCATTCTAAAGGGAAAATAAGACTTTATAGCTGTCCTCAAATGAGGACACTGAGCGCTGACGGGTTAACTAAAAATGAAATAATTTAGAAAAAGATTTCTGAAGTTAAAGAGATTAAGAGATGAGCATTTGTATGCATATTACCATGAAAAATATTAACGAATGTAATTTTTTTTTAAATGCTAGAAAATTTGACAGTTTGAGTATTTATCTTCTAGTATCTTATTTTAGAGCATATTCTGGCAAACATTTGAGTTGTCATTTGAAATTGTCCTTATTATTATTACATCAAAACAAATATTCTCTGCTTTTGGAAATATGAATTCTTTTTGCATGTTTGTGTGGCTAATCTTGGCTTCTTAAAGGTGCCTGTCTGTATAAGCGGACAGACATCCTGCTTTGTCATAATCCTATTCAATCCTTGTGACTAGCCATCATTTTACCACTGTTAAGAGCAATTTTTCTACACAAAACTTTGATTTGATTTGTAACTTCTATGACAATATTTTAACAAATATTACATTATTATGATATTAATGAAAGCATATTAAAATTAATTTTTTTAGAAAGATAAATTTGAAACCTTTTTATTTCTCTCTGCCATGTTTCAAAATGTGTTTACTTTTCATTCTGGTAAATTTTGAATACCATGATTTTAAAATGAGAGAGATAATAAACATTATAAAGTACAATTTCAGAACTATTTTTTAACAAAGTTAAAAAAAAAAAAAAAAAAAAAAAAAAAAAAAAAAAAAAAAAAAAAAAAAACTAGATATGGTATAATTTTATTTGTCTAATTTTATATATTTTTTTAAATGGTAAGTGCTTCTCTACTTGTAATTGTTTCACTTAAATTGGTCAGTATAAAAATTCTGACAAAAGTCTAATTTTAAAGGAGTAAGAAAAAAAAATCTCTCATTCCCCATAAGAATGTCAGAAATCAACATTAAAAAATTATTAGATTGACGGAAGTAAGGATCCGCCTAATGTAGCATTAGTTAAATAGTTTACTTGTTCATGGGTCTCCCACAAAATTTTAAAAATTTGCAAATAGCCTCTTTTTGCATACCTGCTGCATCTTGTGTTGGCATGCAGTTCATCCATTTTTAACTATATGTCCAAAATTATCTTTGCATATGTGAAACTAGGGATATCTCAGAAATTCTTAACTATAATTTTATGAACATAATATGGAATGTGATATCTCCTGGTGCACAATGTGTTTTCATGCTTTCAATAACATTCTTAACCAGAGCTTGGGGAATTAAGTTATACTTCTCTAGTTTTTAGGGAATTTACATATCAAGGACAAGGGTGTCTCCATGCAGCTACTGCAAGTAGCTGCATATGCTATGCTGAGTATGCTATATATGCTAAGTATGCTATATATGCTAGCATAGCGTATATGCTATATTTGCTATGCTAGTCCCATAAGCTCTCTATCAGATCAAGATCAGATCTTTTATGGCCATGGTATTAGCTCAGTTTCTTCATTTTTAAGGAATTCGTCAATGAGGTTTGCTCGATGTGGAAAAATATTATCATCCACAAATAAGAAGTTAGATGCATATGCATGTCTAAAAAGTTTTTGTGAAGTTTAAAAACTTATTCCCAATATTTCTAGCCAATTACAGATTCATTATTAAAATCGTAGGTCTGTATGTCCATCATGGACCTTGATATAAGATTGGATTTAAATCAGAAAATAAAAAAGACTGTTGTCCTGAAGCACTCTGTGTTATTGCACTGGAAACTGTTCATGATCTCTATCCTACACATGAATGGCTTCACATTGATACAAATGTTTCCCTTCTGAACTTTGCTGAAGGAGCTGGGGCTTGATTTTTGTGAACTTTATTGTTTTTTTCTGAGGAGCTGGGGCTTATATTTGTGAACTGTCAGTTGGAAATTTTTCGACACATTTTGATGGTCAACTGGAATCAGTCTATGGAACACTTCAGCAACTTCCCATTTGCCAGAATTTCTTTGAATGAGCTGTGATCCTTTCCGATTCAACTTCTGCTCTTCAAGCTTTATTACCTAATGAGGAGAATAAAAGTCCTTGCATCCAGCAGTGTAAATCTGTACTATAAAGAAATCAATGTATAGTGTCTTTCCAGTCGGTGCTCCCTCACTTTGGTGTTGAGGGAAATGAGAAAACAGTCATTTTTGTAAAAAGAGGTTACAGTTTGATTCAGAATCCAAGCAGAGACTTGTCCTTTCATTCTTCAAAACTGGAGATTGAAAGAATCTTCAGAACATTCTTTTCGTACAGTGTCTGTTCACTCTTCCTGTACTAAATACTGGAGTGTCCTCAGCACTAATTTCCATCTTGTTCTGGTTACTCCTTGTGCAACTTCAGTGGCCACTTTTAGACTGTTGACGGGGCACGACTGTCTTCATGCCTATTCATTTTCTAATTCTGTCAACTCTTCTATGTGCATTTTGTGTTCAACTGGGCAAAATATGATCGCTGCTCACACTGACAAAATCTTCACATTGTCACATTTTAATTGTCTTATGGAAACACATTGGAGAGCACACAGCATGATGACTTGGTGGATCAACAGGCTGGTGTTTGATTTTAAAAAGAATTTCACATGGCAAACTGCTACTGTAAGTCTTGTCTCAGGCCCTCTAATCATATGAGCAAACACAGCTAGCAAAAGGCTTACACTGGTTCAGATAATTCTAATAGCTGAACAAAAATGGTTTGGTTTTGGTTTGGTTTATTAGGTTACGGCAAAGCACTCGAGGGCTATCTGCCTTAAAGGAGGGATGCCTTTGTGGAGGACTTTTTAAGGGAAACTGGCTCGTATAGATGTTACACATGGGGAAAACCATGAAAACACCCATGCAGCCAGCCCGTTCGCAGGATTCGAACCTCGGACCGAACTACCAGTGTTCAGGGACGTTACCGCTCGGCCACTGGTGGGCCCAAAAATGGTTTGGAGAAGGGTCAGAAGTTGCTGCCAAGAGCTCTCTTTTAACTTTGAGAACTCTGTTCTTAGTACTTTAGTTAATTTGCATCTAGTGAGAGCCAATAAAAGTAGAAGTGACAGTAAAAATAATTAGGAAATTGGTTAATGAATAGAACATATTATGCATTTTTTTTTAAATTTTAAGTAAGACTATTTGATAAAAATTTAATGAAATAGTTAATAAAGGTAGCATTCCTCTTTTAACATTGCACTAATATAGAAGTGATATTGAAGTAATTGCACATCCAGTATTTAATTCTGTAGCATTATTTAATTTTACAAAATAAAATCTAAAATATATGTAGCTCATCTCTATGTCTGCAAACTGTGCATAGAGTGTGACTGATGTATTCAGTGAGCTCTATGTTTATCAAGAGATCTGGTTAGTCCAGTAAAAATATACTTGATACCTTAATATCAATGCCTGTTGTTAGGTGCATTTTATTGCACCAAAAATTTGGTGCTGTCTAGTTCCTGTGTTTTTTATTTGTTTTTATTGTTTTTTTTTAATGCATTATAATAAACCTTGCTTGGTGTTATGGAAACATTTGATGTAGTTATCCCTTAACAGGAAGCAACTATGTATGGAATAATAATTACAGCCATTGTATGTTTGTGAAATATATTTATAAAATGCACTTTTGTTTATTAAATGTTTGCAGATACAGACTATATAATTTTTTCTTTTTGTATAGAAATAACCATTGACGGTGTACATGAAATGATTCCAAGATTGTTATCGAGGGTCCACATAGAAGCCTTAATGTATGGAAATCTGACTAAAAAGGTACCTTAAGATTTTACATATTTTAAAAAAATCTGATGAAAAGTTTGTAACTGTAAAACAAAGTTCTCTAATTTCACACAGTGTATTTCTGAGAGGTATGCATATGTGCAAAATTTAGCAGAAAAGCAGGCTTAAATTGGCCTAGATTCTGAGTAACATTTTATCATTAGATTTTGATCTAAAATGTACACCAATTTAAAGCTGCTTTTTGCCCTTTTTTCTAATTGTGTATTTTACTGTAGTATGTTTATGTAAAACGACATGCTAGGAATTTAAGTAACTAATAATGAGTGTTTGAAATGAAAAAATTTGTTCTAATTTGTCTTTTTCATTATAGCCCTCCCCCCCCCAATTTTAAGAATACATGAAATTTGAATACTGCTCTTTAAAACAATTTAATTTCCATATACCCAGCTGGATAATTTTATTGTGTAATTATTTTAGAATTTAAGAAAAGGCTAAAATATGTAAAAATAAAATAACATGTTTATTTCATACTATTGTTGTTCAGCCATGTGTGCCTATATTCATTTAATGTTTGTTTTGTGAATCTGTGTGATTTTGTTTAAGCAAAAGCTAATATAATTAAAAATAAAATGTTTATTTTATACTATTGTCATTCAACTATGTGTGCTTGTAAAGCTTGTAGACTGAATTTAGAAAAATGACCCCTCGCATTTCACCTCTACAATTTTCATCTCACATTTTCCTTCTGTATAGATAATGAGTAGGTTACAATAATGGAATTAATGTACTTAATTCATTAATAATTCTAATTTTTTCCAATAAAATGAGTGTAAAGTATTTTTTAAAGCATTTAGGTTGTATGCAGTGTCTCTCAGGTAATTAATTGCATTATGATTTTGAAGATCATGGACCTTTTGATTCTACCAGAAGTTGCAGCATCCTTGTTTCTTTGATCACCTAAATAACCGGTAATTAATTGTATAATTTTAAGCAAGTAATGTTTGAGAATAAAGTAGCACACATTTCCTGAAATCCTCTGTGTCGTTGATATGTTCATGACCATTCAGTGGTCATGTGTAAACATTCCATAATTTATTAGCAAAAATTATTACTAGCTGGCACTACCATTATCTTCTTTGAATATCTCTAATTTCAGAGTAGTTTCCTATCCTATCACCATAACTTAGGAGGGAAAATCATCAGCTTCAGCAAAATCTTCAAATGTTTGAATAATATTAGCAGGATAGATACCAAGTCTGCAGTCATTCAGACCCAATAAGCAAGATTCATAGGCTTGCTTGTATCAGGATTTTAAACCTTTACACTGTACTTTTTACTAAACACATCACAGTTTTAAATTTTTAATTTTGTGAATTAATGTTGGTGGCATGAGTTAAGTTTGACTGAAGCTTGTTGACCATATTAACCAAATTTATTATTGATGGGAAAAGTATGCATGCAATCCAAGATCTATTTATCCTGAGAATCATCCATCAGAAACTTCTACATTGCTATCAATAATAATTTCTTGATAATTCTGTGAAATTACCAGACCCTGGAGAGTACTTTTGTAAAGCAGAAGCACCATTGTTGTATTTAACATAATGAATAATTTGTTTAAGTGAATCCTTTTTAGGAAGTTACGCTGTGACATTGTTATGAGTCTTTGCAATTACTGATGTATCAGTCAGCTGTGGTCATTCATTTGTGGTTTTTGCATGTTGGTATTAGACAAGTTATTTGCAATACTTCCAACTTTGCAGCTTGAATTGCATTGCTGTGTTTAGCTACAACCTTTGCAACTGTATTTTCTAAACCTTATATCCAAGCTTACCTTTTTGTAAGTAGAGTGAAACTCTTGGGGCATTTTTGTTCAGTTCCCAGTTTTGTTTTGTGTCCTGGTGAGGCAAAAATTTTCCCCCATTGTACACATGAGATTAATCAATCAAGAAGCAAAACTGATACATTGATACTGCAGTGCCAAAAATTAGGTGATAAAAGCAAGCACTACCTGCTGAATCAAGAAATGTGTCTTCCTCCTAATGTCTGTAGATTATCACCTATATAATCAAGTTATGTATTTTTTCCATTATAAAAATTTTAACAGTTCTAATTAAGCCTCTTAGATAGGAAAGATAACCCTAAAGACACACTGAAGTAGACAGATTCATTTAAAAGCTATATGACAGTTTGTATGCAAATAAAATTTATCTTAAAAAGTTACAGTTTAAGTAATCAAGAGAGTTTATCATCAAATTTGCATTTAAAGAACAGGGACTTTAAAAAAAATTGAGTTATTAATAGGTGACTTCATTTTTAATTTTGTATCTTACTTATTAGTGACACTGGATGAAATGCTACAGGCTCACTTTCATCAACGGTTATTGTTTAGGAATGCTTTTTCAAAATTGTAAGTAGTTATTTAAAAATGGAGATACAAAGGGAAAAGTGATCTTAAAGCCAGTTTGTATCCAGCAGAATGTTTAAGAAGTGAAAAAGTAGTAAATATCCAGATGCCATACATACGTTCCTAACATATTTGTTCAATTTTTGGGGGGGGGTAGTATTTGTAATTTTGAGTAAATAGACATTAGAATTTGGAATACAGTTGAAATAGAACTGAACCTTTTGTCAGCAAAAGACTGGCCAATTTGACCACATGCTGGAAGTTTTCAGAAAGCACATTTTCAAGATGCTAGAACCAGTTGTTTGAAAGAATTTCAGTTGTATTTTTGATTGAGTTGTGAAAAGTCATGTGTTAGTTGAGTATGCGTGTTTTTACAAATTTGCTTTTGAATAAATTTCTCTTATGATTTTAGTGTATTCTTTGAGAGATGTATCAACTGTATTGCATGTTTACAGCTTTGAAGTTGTGGGTGATTGATTGTAGTGATACAGTTTTAGAACTTTACTAGTGATATTTGTATTTTGGAAGAAGGTTTCTATTTTCCTCCTTTTATTTGTAATAAAAATTATCTTGAAAAACCACTACCACTTTTAAAACCATAAGCTGCAATAGGTAATAATGTGATTTGTTGAGTAAGCAAAGTTAAATTGAAATTTTAAGGTTATTTCAAACATTCTGATTTTAGAATACTTGCTAGAGGATTTATTAAAACATTTTTCACAAGATTTATATAATAAATTTATCGATAATTATTTAATTGTAAGTACTTTATGAAAGCTTTTGGATAGAGATTACATTTTTGAATAATCGCCTAAAAAAACTTAAAACTGCGTAATGTCGTATTGTTTTGATATATTTAGTTATGTAAGCCATGCTTATGTATTATTTTGCATTCAAAATTTAGGTGATGCACATGTTTTTATATCTTTAAATGTATATTATGTTAAAGTGCCACATGAATTTAAGTAAACCATATTTTAGTGCATTTCTAATTACATGCATATTTGTGTTTTAGCATGCTTTGCATCTCATGAGTATAGTTGAAAATGCACTAAAATCAAACATGAGTACTAAGCATTTAATGCCAAGTCAGCTGAGTAGTGATAGAGAAATTCAGCTTTCAGATGGTAAGAATATTTTTGTATAGTTTTAGCATTTAAAGTTTGTTTGAACTTGGATGTATTTGTACTTTTATGAGCTGTTTGTGACAGGAAGAAAATCATAATTTAAAACACTTACAGTTAAAATATTGTGAATATTTTAAGGCATATATTGTGAATTTCATTACTGAATAAAAAAGGGGGGGGAAGTTGGGATATCAGAGGTTTCTTTGATACAGTGACAGACAAGTTAATAAAAAAAATTATATTTAAAAAAGGAATGTTATTTTGTCTGTAATAAGGTGTATGTGAACTTACTATTAAATGCTATGAGAATTAGGATTGGATTGCAGAAAAGCATGCGAACGCTATCTGCTTTAGGGGATGGATGCTTTCCTGTAAACCTTTTTAAGAGAAAAATGCTCGCATTTACGTTCCTGGTGGAAAATTCCACATGTAATCTACCTATTCACTGGGTTTCATTGGATTAATTTTGTTTGCTTGCTGAATTACATTAAAGCACATAACAATTGTCTGTATAAGGGGAGGGATGCATTCACGAAGGACTTTCTAAGTGAAGCTGGTTTGTATTTGCGTTACACATAGAGAAAACAATGAATGTCACCTTTAGCCGGGATTCGAGCGAGCTACAAGTGTTCCACCTTTACTGCTCTACTGAAGAGCCCGTAAAGAATTGATAAAGAAAACGTATTGAAATAATCAGTTTAATTTACTAACCTATATTTCTCAATCAACAGTACATAAATTAGGCATATGAGGGGATTATTTGTGAATAAATAAACTGTATTGCACTTTTCTCCACTATTTCATATTACGATGGAAATATTGCATTTCAAAGTTATTTCTCATGAATTAATTTTGCTCCATTCATGATTTTTTATTTTTTCAAAGAGAAAATTTCACACTTTAAATAAAAAACACACGAGAAGACACTTTATGCTAAACTAAGCGTAAAGAGTTTTCTTAATTTTGCTTTGAAATATTCCAGGGTAATAATTTTCATTACTGGAAGAAATGTGAAAAACTTTTACTACATTTTAAGTGTAAACACCTAGTATGCCCTTATTCTTTTGAAAACATAAATGATTACTCTTTCTAAAATAAATTAGAAAATACGTATATTATGTGCAAATAGAATATGCATTGAAAATCATAGACTTCAACCTTTGGATATAATGATGGTTTTAGATGAAATTTTTGCCTATGAAAGGAAATTGACATATAATTCTTTATAAACATTTAAAACTGTTTTGAAAAATACTTTTGATGATTGCATGTATAGGTTGCAGATTTTTTATCCCCTTGCTAACATAAACAAAAGCAAATTTTACAAAGAAAATTCTCTTTAAAGATATACGTCTTTTGCCTGATAGTCCAATGTAATATTTGTTAAAGTTAAATGATAAAACACAACCAATGTATCTCTCATTTTGTTTTTTATATTATAATAACAAAATTATCAAAAAAAAAGCAGATTTAAAGCTTTGTTATTGTTATTTAAAGCTTTGTTATTGCTGTAAGTTCATCTCAAAATCTAATTGTATTGAATCTCATTCTAGTCATCTAATAGTAATAAATATTATTAATGAATTTATTATTATTATTTCATTATATTATTCATTACCATTATTTTGTTAAAGAAAATATATTATTAAAAATCGCATTCCAACCTGCAGACTTACAAAGCTAGTTCGTATTTATTATATTTTGTAAAGTTTTGCTCGTTTTCTAATTTCTAATAAGGAAAATATGTGATTATAAATGAAGTATGAAAACAAAGTTATAAAATTCACAAATTATTTCTGGGATTGATCATAAATAGTAAATAAAATATAAACATTGCATACATTTTGTTCTACTTCATTTAAATGAAAGCAAAATAAACATCGAAAAAATTGCAAATCTAGCAACCCATTCTAGACTATGGAACAGCGCCCCACAAACATGTAAATTTTACTGCATCCATGGAAGGGACAAATGACCACTCTAATGAGTTTTCTCATTAGGAAAAAATCAAAGAGGGGGGCCAAAGTGTTTTGAATCACGCCTGTCTGAAGGCTGTATTATGAGAATTTCGGCCAGGTTTTAGGTTAACTGCAGCTACAGGTTATTTGGCACCCATCAGCCATTGAGCACGAAGTAAGATCAGTGTGATTTTCACTTTGTTTATGAAATTACTTAAGAATTCGCAATCTTTTGTTTTAATTATGTGTCTGAAAAAAGTAAATTACTCGTTTACTTTTCACAAATGTATTAAGAGATTTTTCTCGTATTCTTCCATCAAGAAAATGTGATACATTTGTAATGTGTATGATTTGCCATTAAGATTTTTTAAATTTCACATGGTGAAAGTGCCGATTTCACCATGTGAAAGTGCCGATTTGTGCCGATTTCACATGGTAAAACATGCATGCACAAGGATAGTGTAAGTTGTTTAAAACAAATCAATAAATTTCTTGTAGGAAACAAAGAACCAGGAAGTTATTAATATAAAATACCATTTTTCTGCCTTTTTTACTAGGCTTCACTCTAACACTGTCTCCAATTGTATTAATGTAAAATACCATTTTTCTGCCTTTTTTACTTGGCTTCACTCTAACACTGAATGTCTCCAATTGTGAGCTCTTATTTATAAAAATATTTTTATATAGCTAGAGACACCTAAGTGGAAAATAAAAATTGACAGCAGTTAAAAATGGGTATAAAAAATAAATCTGCTGTTGTTGATTGCATAGGAACAGCTCTTTTCTACCTTCCTGTGAATGCCTAACACCAATTTGAGTGTTACTTTTTATAATCTTCTGGCTTCAGAAATCGAGTGTAGTTTCCTTTGTGCCCCCACTTTAGAAAGAGATTCATTTCGTTATCTTTAATAATGAGTATTATGCAAACAATGTGCCAGCAATGGTTGGCTCTGAAGACTGGTGTTGCAACCATCTTTTTTTTTTTAAAAAAAAAAAAATGGAGATTTGAAGGTTATGGAGTGTACTTGTCATCTTCCAAATTTTGCAGCAGGAAAAAAAAGCAGCTTCTGTACCAGTAAATTGTAGGTTAATTCATTTGTGATATTTAGTGTTATTTTGAAAAAGGCATTAAATGCAAACTAAAGTGCAAGCAGTTCCTACATACCACTGAAATAAGAAAAAAATTTACACATATATGTGCTGATATATTTTTTAAAAAAATGTTTATCTAGAATGCTTGGTCTATGAAATGTAGTTCTTGCATTTTTAATGAAGAACTAAATGCTTTTTGGATTAAAATAAAATTATCTATTATGATTTTAAAGCTTGTCTGAAGTAAATGAAGTTATGGCTATTAAAGATAATCACGAGAAAAAAAAAAGAATAATTTATTCAACAGGGAGCAGTTTAATTGACAATTCTCAGAAAAATACTGTGAAAAATAAGTGAAAGATGTTTCTAAAAATGATAAAGTTTATCCATAAAGTTACTGTTACATTTGCCCGTTGCTGTAAATTTATTTCATAAAGAGTGATTATTTATGTTTTAGTCTTCACACTTAACTCAGTTTTCCACATTTTTGTATGCTGTGTTTTGTCAGCATTTTATATACTTAGCACAGTTCTGCAGCAACAACTTGCTTAAATTCACATTTTGCATTTAAAAATTAGTGATTTGGTAGGACATTTTTCTCAAGGTATGTAAAACCAACCATTTTTTGTATTGTCTGATTTTGAATTTCATGTGAATTATAATAGAATTTTTTGGGGGGTGAGGAGTTCTTAGTTATTAATTGAGACTGCATTTAACAGAATGATGAAAGAGCTTGCAGTTAAAGATAAAAAGAAATTTCATGAAGGTGCTGCTGCTTTCATCTTTTTCTGATGTGTGATATTTTTTAATACATTTTTCACTCTTGCTTCACTTAGTTCTCGAAGCCAACAATGTTAGTGCTCTGCTACGTAAATTGCAATCAAAAGTTTTGCTATTTGCAAATAGAAACTTTGGATGTGTTACAGAATCAACAAGCATTGATACTGAGTTTAATCTTAAGAATAATAAAGTGCTGATGGAATTTTAAAAATTATGAATTCTCCAGAATTGTGTTGGCCATCTTGGCAATTCCCACAGCACTGAAATGTAAGAAACAACACTGGAAAATGTAAGAAAATTCCCAGTAGTTTTATAAAACAAGAATTAAGTTTAGATTGAAAATGAATGGTGACACGCAATAAAAGCTTTTATCAGCCTACTTGGCAGTTAGTCATGAATGGTGACACACAATAAAAGCTTTTATCAGCCTACTTGGCAGTTAGTCTGAAGAAAATATCAAATAAAATCTGCTACTGTTATTAACAACAATACTCAAAGGGATTAAACCTTTATTTTTTGTAAAACTTTTTCAAATACTAAAGGTCTTTTTCATAAATGAGTATTTTTGAACTATATGAATTTAAAAACTTTATAATTGCACTCTCATATATTAGTTTAAGAAAATTTTGCTTTTGTTTATTTTTACTGTTTAAAAGTAATTTTCATTACTTTAAATATTCTAATTTGTTTAAAAAAAAGACTCGATGTTTGAATGTAGCATTGCTCAGTTAGTATGATGTTGAGTGATGGCTGATTGCATGTAAGTAGGGGAGAACTTCAAATCCAAGTTCATCATGTGTGTATATTCCTAATGTCTTTGCAGGTTAGTTGGACAACGTAAAAATCTGCCAGTCTGAAAATCCTTGCAAGAGGTTGCTGGAAGGGGAAATTTCACTTGCTGTTTTCAATCAAAATTTGGATTCAGATACATCATGTTCTTATCTATTGGTGCCATATCCACTGAGGAAATGGGTTGTTTGCTCCATGCATGATTATGCAAGATCCTGTTGGTATTTACAGACTAATAGCTAAGTTACAGCAATGCCAGTTCTTCTGTTAGCTGTATTTTAAATTTGTCAGAAAGTTAATTAGGGTACTCTTCTGGAATTATGCTTAATTTGCAAATAGCTGCATTAGGTTGAGGTTTCTTAAAAATTTTAGTTCTTTTCT